GGAAGCATCAAGAAATCATTAAAATTATAACCTCGAAAGGCTTTGAACTGGTTTATCATTGCATCTTTTTTTTTTTTTTTTTTTTTTTTTTTTTTTTTTTTTTTTTTTTTTTTTTTTTTCAATAAACTTACATTTTTATTAATTTCACATGAAATCAGTTATTTAAAACAAACTCAGCTTACAGTTTATTACCACAAAAATCTTTTACATAATTTTAGCAAAGGAAACGTTAAGAAAAAGTGGTAGAGATTTCGTTTGTTTTAACCAGAACAGTGCCGACTAACAATACTGATAACAGATGATGTTTAAAATACTTGGGAATAGTTTTGATCCACAACAGTCGGCAATTGTCCGTAGTCGAGAGCAAGTAAAAACATCTTCCATTAAAATGTCATTCGTTAAAAATGCATTGTTCAATCAATTGATTTCTATTGAAATGGTAGAGAAATGTAAACAAAAGCAAATGGCTTGTGTCCTGTGAAGTAAGAACAAAATATCGATAATGATCAGAAGAAACAGCGAAAAGCTCGAAAGTGCAAGAACATTAGTTACTGTTTTAATTTACATAACCAAATGATTTTTTTTCTTAAAGGTTAACCATGAACCGTATTATCCCGGTTAATAGGGAGTTAACTACAGACCAGCTCAGGTTTTACTGTTTTTACACCCGATAATATTGATTCGCCCAAACTGGATGTTGAAAACAGAAACAAAATTTTTATTGTATTGTCTGTGATTATGAGATAACTGACATCTACTAAAAATGCAAAAGGGCAATATATTATTCTACCAAAAGCGTTGCTTTCACTGTTGAATCGCTTGGGAAATTACAACTCGTTTCCCTCGTCGTTAGTTCAGTGGCATTTTGCATGCTAATCCTCGTCAATTTCGAAATAATAATAATAATACAAAATATAAAAAATCTGAAAGCCTTCAGATTTTATATAACGCCAAAAGGACGTTTTTCAACGTTTTGTGTGTTACGTTCTTTGAACTTAAACCATAAAATTCAATTCAACAGCAGTATCACAGAATATTTAAAAGAGCATATCTTTAGAATTTCCGATACACAGTCTCGCGCGCTGGATGTAAAAAAAAAATTTTTTTTTTTTTTTTTTTTCGTACAGTGTTGCCACTGCTCGCTTTGAAATCGGCGAGTTTGTTAATAAAAAATTCGGTAAAGTTTTACAAAATATCAAATAGATAATAAAACAAATTCCAAATCTGGGCTCCCAGATTCCCATATTCGAGTGCAGAACTACGTTTTTCAGAATTTGTTGTCTCTAGGTACCGCTGTTTTTTCACAGTGCGAGAAACATACATACATTCATGCAGTTTCTTCATTATTTAATTTCTTTAAATATAATGCAGGGTTCTAATATTTGGTGGCAACAATTTTAAAACTGAACCGATGCAAAATGCCAAAACGAAATTAATAGCCCTTCTGAGCAAATTGCACCTTTGGGCTAATTAATAACCCTTTCTATCCCCGAAACGGTCAAAGGAGAGGAGTATTTTATTAGCGGTGTTTGTAACTTATATAAGTGATCTCTTGCTAACGTGTTTAGGTATTCTTTTTGGTTGCAGAGCAAACTTTGGAAAGCAAAGGATACGTAATAATTTAACTTCTGCAAGGGTAAATTGTTATGCAGGAAAAGATGACCATCCTGAAGACCTCCAGAATGTCATTTTTTTTTTCCTAATGACTAAACTGTTCTACGGCACATTTAAATATTTCTACACTAAAAAAACCTTTCGGCAAGATACGATAAAATTACGCAACAAAATTCTGTGCAGAACTCGGTACTTTTTTTATTAGTGTAAACTGCCCATTGAAATTCAACAGACATCAAGGGGACTTTATAAAACGTAACTATGCCGCAGTACACCGGTTGGGGAAAGCAGTTATTCAAATCAATGGGCGCAGTCTGTTCGGCACGGTGATAGGATATCAGGTAGCAAACGCATAGGGCCAGATTCGAATCCTAGTCTGCAGAAGGAATAAATTATCTTTCTGGCAGAGAGGCATTTAAAATACTCTCAAGCGGAAAATCCTCGCGAGAGGCTAATTATAAGGGAAGAAGGGTAAGTGATTTTTGGATCCATCCTTCATCGACATTGAGATGGAGTTTGGCAAATTCATATTGTCACCTACGTGTATCCCGGTTAATAGGTAATTGTTGGTACAAATGCCAACAACAGACGCAACTCCTTCCCTCTTGGCTACGATGAATCGGAGGACCAGATTGCGAAGATTAGTCACAATTAGCAGTGGGGACCAGATCTGAGCATTCGAGTTGATAATAATGTAAGAATGAATTTTGCTGTTAACTTATTGAATGCTTTTATACGATTAACAAAATTACTTAGCTTATGGTAGTAAGGATCCTAAGTTTTACTAAAGTTTATTTTATTTTAAAACTGTACTATCACTTCTTATTTTCTACTTCCGGTCAGAATTAAACGCTTTAACTTGTTTATGCAAATTGTCTTGCGAACGCCCAAGTATTTAAGATGTGGCTTTTTGCTAAGAGTGAGGGAGAGAGGAGTTTTAGGAAGCAAGCCGCTTGCCACTGCAGTTTTACGAGTTTTCACTCGGTTGCTGGTTGCCTTTAAGGCCAGAGGTTTAGCCCTCTTGATAATTGCAAACGTATTGTAGTTTCAGCAGCTGGGCGTACTACATACGTATCCTTTTAAATAAAGGCCAGTCTTAGTGCTAGGCATTTGTATACTAGTTAGTTTTTATTTAGAGTTTTAGTTAGTAGTTTTATATTCTTACGTTCAGACCACAATTGGCTGGTCTCTGTATCCCGAAGTTCGGAAGTACACTTGTAAAAGTATAGAAAATAAAGGGTTTCGTATACCCTTCCTGCTTGTGTCGTCTGTTATACACAAATCTTGAACATAGCTTGAGTAAGCTTCCTGTTCTTATTCAGGACATACCATGTTTCCAAAGCAAATCAACAGAAACACAAGTCCTGATGTGGTCTACGTTCGTTAAAGAAGACTACTCGAAATACAAACTGGTAATTAACTGCCGAATGTCCGATCTTTAGCGTAATTTGAAAATTTTCAAGCAGTAGAAGGTCGAAGGAGTAAATTGTCCTTATTGCCATTTATAAAAACTCGGATTCTCTCGGAAATGTATTAATGGAAAATTTCTTAAATTAATTGTTTGAAAATTTTGTTAATTCTTCATAATGTAATCAAGTCCTGGTTTATAAAATACGATGTAAATTGTTTTTAATTATTCGCAACAAAAAAATTTAGATCGTTTTATGATTTTCACGTTTTATGCAGGACCATCAAACTAAATTTGAATCGCTAAGAATTGAGAAATGAAAAAGAAAAATACGAGGGTTCAGATTTTAACGATCGCTCGAAGGTTTGTTAAGGTTTTTTACGCACTCGCTCACTCTGCTTTGCACTCACTCTCTGCTAACCCATTTCTTTTCGTCATTTTAGCTTTATTATTAAGCCTCTTTCAAACCGTTGCGTTTGTTAATTAATACAAAATATGAAACATAAAGATCGAAATTCAAAATTCCGGCTTCCAGGTAGATGCACATGTTCAGGCTACGTTATTCAAAATTTGACGAACCTTAGGTACCATCGTTTTTCACAATGCATGCAGTTTTTGTATTTTCTTTAAAAATAATACAGAACGATAATATTTGGTGGCAACAATTTGAAAAGAGATACGCCATTTATAGTGAACGACGCAAAATCACGTTTCGAGACTAATAGCCCATTCGGGCTAACGCCTTTTTGGCTAATAAAATTACGACATAATTGCCCCCCCCTCTAAATACTAAGAGTGCTTTAGGATTAAATACTTATATCCTTATTAATTTACTTTATAATTTTTAAATTTTTAACCTCTGTTTTTTGTGTTAAAGCAATCTGTGATTCTTTCATATCAGTCATCTACACTGAAATAACATCCAAGATTTATCAAAAGATGTAATTTAAAAGAAATTTTCTCTGGCAACGGAATTTTGTTTCAATGGTTTTACTACTATACAGTTTCATGTGTAGGGGTATATTCGTATTTTTTAAATAACTTGGATACTTTAAAAAGTATGTTTCAGTAGTAGTTCAAAAGTAATCTTTAATATGAAATGCAACAAAAATACAAGAAAATCATTTATAAATTTTTTTGCTTTGTTTTATTTTGTTTTGTTAGATATATACGAACTTTCCCTATCCAAATATTTGTTTTTTTATGGTTTATTTTCAATTTCAAACTTATTATAGCTTAATCTCATATTTATTTTAAAGATTAAGAAAATTATAATGCAAAACACATTAGCTGTAATTAAGAATTTAGTAGGTATGTTGATATAATATAAGTAAAAGAAGTACGTCAGTTTAAGATTTACAGTTAGGAAAAATTCAATCTTGGATTAACAATGATTTTATAGAAAATTTGTATACATTTCGGGAAAGGCAAGGGTCTCTCTTCTATAAGAAGTAATAAAATTTTGCTCAAGGTTGCTTCATTCCGCAGTACCTGCTAGGAATGCATAGTTTTTCTATAAAATCGATGCGAATATTATATTAAATTTTGTTAAATTTTAGATCAAAAACATATTTCAGATTTTAAAAAATAACATTTATAGGAATGCAAAGAATTTATGTTATTGTATGTGCTTTATCTCTACAATTATCCAGAGAATTCTAATATATTATTGTTCCGATAATTTAAAATATTTTCTAACGATTTAAAATAATGCGATTCAGGTAATATTCTTTGTTTCGTTTAACTCCTATTGCCCTTTTGTCTCTTTCCGAAATAGACTTTTTTAATATACCATCATAAAAATTATTGATGTAGCAAAACGAACGGATTCCTTTTAATTTCAGAATGATAATTATAAATAATGAATGAATAATCAATATCAGTGTCAAAATCCAATGCAAAATTCTCCAATTATTAAACAGAAATAAATGACAGCAACTCAGAAAGATAAACAAAAAAATAATAACTAAAAGCATACCTTATTAATTGCATTTGTGGACTGCTTTCATTTTCACTACTGCCTCCACATCTCCAGATGCACGCGATCCACATTCGAACACTTCACGCGCAAATGGAATAGGTTTCGACACCGGAATATTCGCTGTAATCCAAGATGCTTGAAAAGGTAAACAATACAAAAAAAGAAAAGTTACTCCACCAGAATAATAGTCGTCCCACGAAAAAACCCGATACGGTTTTTATTTAAACTCTCAATGTAATAAAAACTTTGTTCGAATATCGAACATGGAATCAGGTTCACAGTAATTCTAAGAATATTAGAGAATACACGTATATACACCACGCTTCGCTAGCTCAGGTAGTTCGCTAACGCCTTGTTGCTTTTCAGTCTCCACAAAACAGGTTTCCGTCATTTCCAGGGTTACTGCAATTTGAAACTTTACGGTCGCCAAATTACGCCAAATGACGGAAAGAGTAGACTGAGAGAATTTCCAAGTAATTTCTAGGAGTATTAATTACCATCACAATTTATAGCTTTAAATTTATTCAACTTTGCTATTAATTTATTTACGCTTTCTAAACTTCGGCAGATTTTATTTACGTGCTTTTACTGCGTTCTCTAATATTCGTAAATCTCTGTAAACATGATTCTGTGTTAGTATTTACTTTACTATACTGAGCGCGTTAAATACAATAAAAATTACATAAGTTTTGTACAAAGTTAAAATTATCAATTGCATAATTTTTTGTAAAAAAATTAATATTATAGCTTACTATACGAATAATATAAAATTATAAATTTTAATATAGTAAAATTCAAAAAACAATTGCTTTCAGTCCCAGGGTTCACGTAATTAAATATTAATTTCACTGCTTCGTTTCAGCTGAATTAGAATTCTTTTATTATTCTATTTTCTCGTTTTGTATTTTATTTTATTAGCCCGAAGGAGTAATTTTCCCAAATCAGCTATTAATTTCGTTTTGACATTTTGCGTTGAAAACTTAAAATGTCGGTTCACTTTTCAAACTGTCGCCACCAAATATTACAGCCCTGAATTATATTTAAAGAAATTAAATAATGAAGAATCTGCGTAAATTTATGTATTCTTCTCACATTAGGAAAAACAATGGTACCTAGAGACATCAAATTTTGAATAACGTAGCCTTCCACCCGAATATGGGCATCTGGAAGCCCAAATTTGGAATTTGTTCTCTATTATCTATTTCATATTTTGTCAGACATTAAAGAATTTTCGATTAAGAAACTCAATGATTTCAAATCATTCCAATAACATTAACATCGAGTACATCTTGAAGCACGGATATTTTATGTGCGAGTTTTCTTTACATTTCTTTCTGGTATTATGTTAGTAGTGTAGCAAGCAAAGACGTTACAATGTCTAACGTTATTTTGCTTTGAATGTCTTTGAATCACTCTTCAAATCCCGTTTTGAATCCCCTGTGATAAAACGCCCCTTTGGGCGTAATAAAAAATGTGAAAGGTTTCAGATTTTTTGTACTTTACTGTGGATTCTTAAAGGTTGAGTGTTTAAAACTACTGAGTCCTCGCGCCTTGATTTTTTTTTTTTTTTTTTTTTTTTTTTTTTTATTTTCTCTCCTCTCAAAACTAATTATGTTAGTTTGCACTTATATTTACTTTTATGATGTTAAGTTTCAACAGCTCAGTTTTCACAACTTTAAAGCCATTTGCACGCTTTATATCAATAAATTCATGTCTTTTAACTTAATACTGCTTATAGCACTCAATGATATCCTCCTAAACTACGTATCTGGTGTATACTGGAGCATAAGTGAACAGTGAAGATTTCGAAATACCACTATTGACTGAGGGAGGTAGAAGCTGAAGTTTATGTACTTTGTTGGTTACACTGTTTGGTCAGATAATAGTGTTCCAAAATTCTCCCCCCCCCCCTTTTTTTTTTTTCCGTTTCTAACAAAGATGAAACCAGCTTTTTCTTACTAAATTTATCCTCACGAACTTATATGCTCTTTATTTCTAAGAATAGCTCTTGTTTAGAAGTTATTACAAAATTTAAAAATCAGCATTTTTCTACTAAAGCAGTCCCCTTGTACAGAAAAACGCAGTAGACAACAGCGAAGCACTAATAAATGTTTGAATAAAAGGCTATAAATTTTTAAAGTTTTGAAGATGCTTGCGCTTTTTTAGCTTGCCGTTTGAGTTAGCATACGCCTGTTCATTCGTTATGTTTCAACAGAAATCAACTAACATCGCTGCATTCACGTTTTCTTTGTATCTTTCTTTCATTGCCGCAGTTTTCTAATGACAGCATTTTCCTTGCCACAATTATCAGTAAAGAAATTCATATGAGAATGGATTTATATTCCCAGTGACTTTCGACACCTCTTCCGTACAATGTTACAAGATTCTTCACTTATTTGCTAGTAATTAAATCTCTTTGTTCTCCATAAAAAACCTGACACACTTGATGAAATGCTTTCTATGCGGTTTGCTGACGGCTAGTATGTCCACACCAAATTGATATCTCGTAATAAGGTACTTGAATCATGACTCCGTGGTGTAATGGTAGCAATTCGGGGCAGGTTTGAGTCCCGATTCGACCTCTACAGGCACAGCTTATCTTTCTGAAAATAGAGTGATGCACCGCATCACTAACTGCACTAAAACTTAACCAGCTTGAAACAACACATTTATCTTGGTTATTATTCAAGTAAAGCTGAAATGGCTAATATTAAAAACAAGCTAAGTAAATATTATTTACAAGATGCACATCCGTTTTGTAACGAAAACTGGATGCATTGAGATTTGCAAATACTGTGAGGAACATTGGGCAATTTTCTTTCCATTATTATTAACTGATTTCTATTAACATTTAATATTTCATCCTACTGTACAACCTTAACAATGTAACTCACGTTAAAATCCAGAAAGACATTGTAATTCACCCTATGTACTATAGGACAGACTATCATAGTCATAAATTTTGGATTTATTTTCCACGTAATCGATCTATAGAAAAAATAATCACCCAAGAAATTTTTCCAAAAAAAAAAAAAAGTCTAAATTTGCATATGTGTCTGTTAACAGAGATAATTGCATACGTGTCTGCAATTGGACACTTCACTCAAATTAACTTTTTTTCTACTTTATTAGCTATGTATAAGAGAAGAAGAATATGATTCACTGTTTTTTTTTTTTATGATTATCTGTCTTTAGGTCTAGATGGAAAATATAACTACATAAATATAATGACCGAATCAAGTCAAATAAAAATACTTTAAAATAAGCCTATAAGAACTGTTTAATGAGCTGTTTACAGTTATATGCATTTTCAGCTGATCATTTAGAAACATTCTTTGCATAATGGCAGGTGTTTATCTCAAATACCAAGGTGGAGGGACTTCACATAGTTCCTCTCTGTTCGTTCTGTCAAACCATTAGTTAAGAAATATACTACAGAATCTTTTTAGTCTTTTCTTTGATCCCATTAAATACTTCCACTTCTAAATATTTAATTAGGTCTAAGGGATTCATTTTGTTTCACATTTCCCTTAATTCACTCATTCATTTCCCTGAAACTTCGATCGCTCCACGGATTCACGTATCAAAAATAAGACATGTCTTGCATTTAATGCGTAGAATCGCCTTTGCTTTAAGCTAGAAGAACTCGGTTAAGGAGTCTTTCGCTTACATCTAAATTTTTCTAGGTATTAAAATAGAGTTTTTCAAACTTTTAACTTCCTGGGCGGCATTTCAGCGAAAACAGATTGTCTTGAGGCTGCGCATAAAATGTATAATGTATTAAGGTCTATAAGTGATGAAAAATCGTTTAATATTTAAGAAATTTTATCACTAAATTAAAACTAAAGTAGCAGCATAAAGTTAATGGGAAATTTCACTTTGTTATTAGGAAATGAAGCCATTAGTGTTTGGTCAATAAAGGTGGTAGCAATTCTTAGGGAGTTTATGTTCTTGTCTGAAATTTTACTTTTCGTGTATTTCATCCTTGAAAATAGTTTCCAACAAAAGTACTCACGAAAACCACTAATATGAAGAAGACATAGCTGTTAAGACCCCCCCCCGTAGAAGATAAGTTTTATAAAAACCTAATAAAGAGACATACTCTGAAGCTTTACTTTACATTGAATATCTAATTATAATTGTGGGTATTCCATTTGAAAATTTGCTTTAATTTATATAAGGCGATTAAAAATGGCAGTGCAAATAAACTAAAATGTTAATGATTTACAAAAATACTGAAACTTTATACAGTTCTTCTCATCTCTACAACAAAATGGAAAAATTGCTCAAAATTCTTTGCAATTATTGTCGATGGATTAACGTCCATATCTCCATGATCCATGCAGAAATCCTTTTCCGACATTTCCATTGTAATTTGTTCTTAAGCTCCAAGCTTTGACTGCCTCTAGACAATTATTTTACGTATCATTTTAAAATTTCATCTTTGTGTTTAGCTCAGTCAAAAAGGAATCCTTCAAATCATGAAAAATCGTCTAACATTGTTGTAAATCCAAGGAATATCAACATATAAGGATTTTCAATACGTCTAAAAATTATTCCATTTCTGTTTTTAATAGGCAACGTCCGCAGCTCAGCTCAAACAGCTAAACAATTATTTGAATATTTGACTTCAAAATTTTAAATTATGTAAGAATTATAAAGATTTAATTAATATATTTTGACTGATGAAACCATATAAAATTCGAGTTTTAAATATATGCAGTAAAGCATATACCGCATTTCTGTGTTCACTTTTTTTGTGTGTGTGCCTTTTTTTTTTTTTTTTTTTTTTTTTTTTTTTTTGACATTTTCGGTGGGGAAAAAATAATATCTGAATATTTTTCTTAAGAAAAATATAAGACAAAATAGACGGGGTTATTTAAATGCAGAAATGAAGAAGATTGTCCTAGAAAGACAAATATATACGGCTGTGAATCCAGCCACTTAATATATCATTTAATAAACCCGCCGAATGAAATTCAAAAACAATTTGCAAAATAATTGTCTAGCGATTAGTCAAAGCTTGGAGCTTAAGAATAAATCACAATAGCCATATTGGAAAATGATTTAAGGGTAAATATTAGGTCCCCCCTCACTTCTACAGAACATAACATAACATTGGAAAATGATTTCTGGATGGATCATTGAGATATGAACGTCAATTCCATCGGTAATAATTGTAAAAAATTTTCAGAAAACCGGCACATCCAGTGTTATGGATGGTTTTGATTACGATGTCTGACAAAATGCTGAGAATGACGGATCTTCAACATCAGAAAAGTAAAGCGACATATCAGAGCACGAAACCTAGGCATTCAATTAATGTTCTTGTAA